AGGGAGAGAGAGAAACATCGATGAGCGAGAACATCATTTGGCTGCCTCCTGCATGTCCCCCACTGGGGATTGAGCCCACAACCTGGGCATGTGTCCTGGGCAACCTCTTGGTGCATGGGTCAACACCTAACCACTGAGCCATACCAGCTGGATGAAAACAAAATTTTATTGAAATTTTTATTAAAATCATTCTGGATTCTTCTGCAGTTTGTAAGAAATAGAGATTCTGTAGTACACTTCGCTCAGTGTCCCCCAGTAAAGTTGCATTTTGCAAAATGAAATAAATATCTCAACCTGGATGTCGACACATGGATCCCATCGCCTATCTTATCCAGGTTTCAGATTTCCCAGTTTTACTTGCTCGCGCGCGAACGCGCGCGCGCGCGCCTGTGAGTGTTTGTGTGTTGTCTACAATTGTATCAACTGAGTAGGTTCATGCATTCACCACAAGGACTCCTCCGGCTGCCCTGTTACAACCTCAGCCCCTCCCATCTCTAAACCACTCATCTATTATCATTTCAAAAACGTTGCATAAACGGAATCTTACATTATGTGACCTTTGGACTTCTTTCGCTTGGCATAATTTCCTGAAGTCATCAGGATTTTAAAAATTCCTCCGGGAGCCGGGGTGGCCAGGTTGACACCTACATCCACTTACCTTTTCTCCCAACAGTTTATAGATTGAGGCAACGCACGTGTGTCAGGTCCCTCATCTGTTAAAGTGGGAGAGGAAAGCCCCTAGCTCGCAGGCGAGTTCCATAGACTAGATTAGCTAGGGAAGCAGATGTCGGCAGGAGGACCTGGACCCTGCAAGGTTTTGTGGCTTCACACCCGGTTGCTATAGCAGCAGCAGAACAGCGGTCGGGGATGTGGCCGCCTTGGCCCCGCCTTACTTGCTAGTGATTGAAGGAGGCACCTGTGTCACGTGCTCCCATGGACCAATGCCTGGTCCAGAGGCAGGGTTCCCCCGAAGCTTCAGAGGGAGGGCGGGGGTAAAAGGTAGAATTAAATTAAGGCAAGTTTTTCCTCATTCTTGAGTTAAAAATGCCCTCGGTAGTTTCCTTACAAAAAAAAAAAAAGAGAGAGAGCGAGAGAGAGGTTCTGGCCAGACCTGGAGTAGATTCATTGCCATTTCTTGAAGCTCCAACCTTTGTAAGCACTCCAAAACTAATAACTTTATTTGGAGGTGCACTGTTCCCCTCTCTAAAGAGAATTCCAGAAATGTTCAGTGTGAGGGCGGCGTGGGCACTTTGCCATCTCTTGACGTTGTTATACCTAGAAATAAGAATCGGCCTGGGAGGTTTCAAAATTAATGTATTCTGTAGTTGGTTTATAAACCACCATTGTGGGCGATTCTCACAGATTGTTGCTGTTCCCACGCCCATGAACAGATGGGAACAAACACTCTAGGTAGGTCATTTTGCAAGATAGGCAGTTACACTGCTGAACACGTTTTGTCATTTTCTCCCCTCAAACCAATGTGCTGTGCAGAAATGGGGCTGGGTCCTCTGCGTGTTTGGGCCAGTGGATTAGTCCACTATTGCTGGGTAACAAGTCGCCCCAAAACAGAGTGGCTTGAAACAGCAAGACATTATTTCATAGCTTCTGTGGGTCAGGAATTCAGAAGTAATTTGGCTCAGTGGTTCTGGATGAGGGTCTCTCACGAAGCTGCAGTCAAGATGTCAGGCAGGGCTGCCTCAGCTGATGGCATGACTGGGGCTGGAGGAGCCACTTCCAAGATGGCTCTCTGGTGTTGCTGTGGTGTCAGGCTCAGCTCCTCTCCATGTGGGCCCTCCCACAGAGTTCCTTGAGAGTCCTCACAGCATGGCAGCTGGCTCCCAAGAGAGCAAGTGGTCCCTGAGAGTGGGGTGGGAGCCTGACATCTTGTATGCCCTAGTCTCAGAAGTCAGTCACTGTTGATATCCTATTGGTTCCACAGGCCAGCCCTATTCAGTGTGGAGGGGGCTACACAAGGGGGTGAATACCAGGAGACGGGACCACCTTGGAGGCTGCCCACCATGGTGTTTTCACACAAAAGATTACCTGGTGATCAGGAACACACCACAGCAAAGCAAGATGACAATGCGATGTCAGCATCCACTCTGCCTGCTTCTGGACCTGCCGCACTCATTGTGGGTCCAGGAGACTTGGAGGAGGTCATGTGACCAAGGCCTGGCCAATAACCCTCAACCTGGGACTCTTACTAGTACTAACAGGAAACATGTGGCTGCTGCTTTTCCCCTGGGTTTGCTGGGGAGCATGTCAGCCTGTGCCAGGGGTCATCTTTGTCACTATGCTGCGAGAGCCAAAACAAAGGATGGTAGAGTGAGAGATGGAGAAAGAGTGAGGGAAAGGAAGAGAGAGGCAAGGGGAAGTCTTGATTCATCTGAGTCCATGATCCAGCCTTGCTTGTAACCAACACTTTTTCTGAACATTTCAGCAACAGAAGTCAATCCATTACATTGTTCATAACAATTATGAGGGTGGCTTCTGTCATTTGTAACATGATGCTATCATCAGATGAGCAAAGAAATAAAACAGACACTGGAATATTACTTGGCCATAAAAAGAAGTGAAGCACCGACACTCTCTACAATGTGGATGGGCCTTGAACACATGATGCTCAGTGAGAGAAGCCAGACACAAAAGGCCACAGAGTGTGTGATTCCATTTATGTGAAACATCCAGAGCAGACAAATCCAGAGACAGGAAGTAGATCAGTGGTAGTCATGGGCTGGGGGAGGGGAATGGGTATTCTGGGGTGATAAAAGTATTTTGTAATTAGATAGAGACGGTGGTTGCACAACATTGTGAATGCACACATTGTCACCAAGTTGTATACTTTTTTTTTTTTTTCGCATTCATCTTCAAATAGAGCTGGAGGGAGAGGGGGAGGAAGAGAGAGAGCGAAACATCAATGTGAGAGAGACACATCGAGTGGTTGCCACCCACAAGATCCCAGCTGGGGCCGGGGACAAACTGCAAGCAAGGTATGTGCCCTTAGTGGGAACCAAACCCGGGACTCTCTGGTTCGTGGGCCGACGCTCTAACCACTAAGCCAAACCAGCCAGGACAAGTTGTATGCCTTAAAATAATTAACTGCAGCCCTGGCCAGTTTGGCTCAGTGGTTAGAATGTCAGCCCAAGGACCGAAGGGCCATGGGTTCGATTCCCAGTCAAGGCCATGTACCTGGGTTGCAGGTTTGATCCCTGGCCCTGCAGGATTGTGCAGTAGGCAATCAATCCATGTGTCTCTCTCACATCAATGTTTCTCTCTCTCTCTCTCTCTCCCCCCTCCCCCACACACACTTTCTAAAAAAAAAAAAATCAATGAAAAAAATATCCTCTGGTGAGGATTAACAATAAAATAAAATGATTAACTGCATGTTATGTGATTTTCACATTAACAGTAATATAAAAAAGAAAAAGACCATGATTCCCCATGATGCCCCACCTAGAGTTGCCTCTCCCTCCTGCCAGCTCCTCTACCACCCACGCCAGTGCATCTCAGGTTCTCCAGAGAATCTTCAAGTTTCTACCCCCTCTTTTAAGCAGAACAATTTCTCCTCCCACATCTGGCTACACAAAGGCATTTGACCTCTTCTGATAGATCCCACCAGCTCACTCCATTTCCTCCCCAGTCCCTAAATGCCAGATTTTCTTCATCCCCTCCTTCCATTAAAAGAAGTAAGGTGGCCCTGGCCGGTTTGGCTCAGCGATTAGAACGTCAGCCTGCGGTCCAGAGAGACTCGGGTTCGGTTCCCGCTAAGGGCATGTACCTCAGTTGCAGTTTGTCCCTGGTCCTGGTTGGGTTGTGCAGGTGGCGACCACTCAATGTGTCCCTTTCACATCGATGTTTCTCTCTCTCTTCCTCTCTCTCCCTCCCACTCTATCTGAAAAAATAAAAATAAAAAAATATCCTCGGGTGAGGATAAAAAAAGGAAAGTGGCTCTTTTTTTTTTATCCTCACCCGAGGACATTTTTGCATTTATCTTCAGATAGAGTGGGAGGGAGAGAGAGAGGAAGAGACAGAGAGAGAGACATCGATGTGAGAGAGACATCAACTGGCTGACATCCACACGACCCCAACCGGGGCTGAGGGACAAACTGCAACCGAGGTACGTGCCCTTAGTGGGAACCGAACCCGGGACTCTCTGGTCCACAGGCCGACACGCTAACCGCTGAGCCAAACCGACCAGGGCAGTAAGGTGGCTCTTTACACACAAATGCAGAAATACATCCAGGCACATGGTTGAGGGGAAAAGTCAGAATGTGCTGCTGGTTTAATTATTTCCTACAGGAACATGAGTGTATGTCATTGTATAGAAAAAAACAGGAACCTCTCCAGGAAGCACATTCCCCCCAACCCCAAGTTATTGCAGGTAACAGCTGTGCCAAGCATTTGCCGCTGAATTATATGGGTCACCATCTTTCCAGTTCCCAACATCCATTTTCTCAACATCCATTAAGCGAATGTCCTATATTTTAGATTTTTGGTCATTTCATAACGTCACTCTGGTCCTAACTTATGTGTTGGTAAAAATCTGGCCCACCTGTCTCTGCCACAAAGAACAGTGGGCTCAGAGCAAGCTGGGTTTGAGTGCTACCTTGCTCCTCAAACTCCCCCAAAGAGAGTCAGACAGCAGGCTACAGGGTCAAGTTATCTTTAATGAAAAAAAGCAAAGCTGAACAAAAGTCTGGGTTGGACAGTCATGCCATGAAGTAAAGACAACCCCCCTCCACCTCCCACACACCTGCAAGCTCCCCCAACTGCCCCCAAAGGCATTCCCCTCTGGAGGAACAGAAACAGAAATGGAGCCTGGGTCCCTGGTATCAGCATGCAGAGTTCCACTCTGACCCTTGGGGGCGCTAAATGCTCTGCAGCGATGCAGGTGCTGGTGAGCAGCTGGGGGACAGCTGCGGCTCTGCAGGATCCCCAGACTGTAGGAGGCACCAGTCTGGCCCCATTCAGTCTTTGCTGACACCTTCCCTACCCCACACTCAGCACCAGTTGAACCTGGTCTCCACTGCAGCTGACCTGTCAAAGGTCAAAGACAGAAGGTCAAAGACAGAAGGGTTCCCCTGGGGTTACGCCCGGCTTTGGCCCTCCAGAGAGAATAAGTGGGCAAGAGACTGAGAGGCCCCTGAATGAGTCTCAGCAGCTGCCCCACTCCCAGGAATTCACAGAGTTGGGATCCCAGAGTTCTACTGTACAGAAGGGGAAACTGAGGTTCAGACAGGGCTTCCCTGCCTACGGTCACCCAGTAAGACCTCCATTCTACACCTGTGACCTGGGGAATTCCAACCCCTCACCAAGTACCAGTTTCCCTGAGTATTCTGCAGAGCCATGAAGACAGTGCTCTCTACCTGAGACCTGCCCAGCTCAAGACATTCTCCACATTCTAGTCTGAACAGCTATAGTTACTTTTCCTACTGTAAAAATTGTAAAATAACAATGAGCCCTGGCCGGTAGCTCAGTTGGTTAGATCATCATCCCAATGCACCGAAGTTGAGGGCTTGATCCCAGGTCAAGGCACATACAAGAATCAACCAATGGCCCTGGCCAGTTTGGCTCAGCTGTTAGAGCCTCGGCCTGTGGTCCAGAGAGACCCAGGGTCGGTTCCCGCTAAGGGCACGTACCTCGGTTGCAGTTTGTCCCTGGCCCTGGTTGGGTCGTGCAGGTGGCAACCACTCGATGTGTCCCTTTCATGTCGATGTTTCGCGTGCTCTCTCTCTCTCTCTCCCTCTCTCTCCCTCCCACTCTATCTGAACAAAAAATGGAAAAGTGTCCTCGGGTGAAGATTAAAAAAAATTAAAAAGAAGAATCAACCAATGAATGAATAGAATAAGTGGAACAGCAAATTGATCTCTCTCTCTCTCTCTCTCAAATCAATAAAATTAAAAAAATAATAATGTATATACTTCTGCTTTTGAAATGTTTTATGATTTCCCAGAAATTGCCAGGACTGCTCAAGAAAATCTCAACTTAAAAATGATTTTCCAGCCCTGGCTGGTTTGGCTCAGCTGTTAGAGCGTCGGCCTGTGGTCCAGAGAGACCCGGGTTCAATTCCCGCTAAGGGCATGTACCTCAGTTGCAGTTTGTCCCCGGCCCTGGTTGGGTTGTGCAGGTGGCGACCACTCGATGTGTCCCTTTCACGTCGATGTTTCTCTCTCTCTCTCTCTCTCTTCCTCTCTCTCCCTTCTACTCTATTTGAACAAACAATGAAAAATGTCCTTGGTTGAGGATTAAAAAAAAAAAGATTTTCCAGCCTGGCCAGTGTGGCTCAGTGGATTGAGCATCATCCCATGGACTGAGAGGTCCCAGTTTGATTTCCAGTCGGGTTGCAGCTTCTATCCCCAGCAGGGAGCATGTAGGAGGCAGCCGATCCATGTTGATGTCTCTCTCTCATTGATATTTCTCTCTCTCTCCCTCTCCCTTCCTCTGTCTCTAAAAATCAATAAAGAAAAAAATTTTTTAATCAATAAAAAGGATTTCTAAATGACATTTTTTTTTTTTATCCTCACCCGAGGGCATTTTTCCATTTTTTGTTCAGATAGAGCAGAAGGGAGAGAGAGAGGAAGAGAGAGAGAGAGAAACATCGATGTGAAGGGACACATCGAGTGGCTGCCACCCGCACGACCAACCAGGGCCGGGGACAAACTGCAACCGAGGTACGTGCCCTTAGCGGGAACCGAACCCAGGTCTCTCTGTACTGCAGGCCGACACTCCAACCGCTGAGCGAAACCGGCCAGGGCTAAATGACATTTTTTTAAAGCCCTCACCCAAGGATATGTTTCCATTGATTTTTTTTTTTTCAAGAGAAACATCGATATGAGAGAGAAACATTGATCAATTGCCCTCTGTATGCACCCCAACTGGGGCTGAAACAGAAACCTAGGTTTGTGCTCTGATGGGGAATTAAACTGTAAACTTTTAGTGAACAGGAAGATGCTCCAAACAACTGAGCCACCCAGTCAGGGCAGAAATGACATTTTGACAACTGCTAAATGTAACTACCCATGAAGATGACCCCAAATTACATTTTTGCTGTTACTTAAACACACTTCATTTTCAGTTTTTGTACTTAAATGTCATACTTTGCCCTCCTGCCATGAGCCAGCTATTTCCTGGAGCCCTCCCAACAGTGTGCATTGGAACAGCCAGCATGGTCCAGGGGACAGGGATGCCCCAAACTGCTGACCCCCCAGGAGCTCCTGAGGATAAGGGCCCGTGCTCACCTGCACTGTCCCATCACTGAAGAGCAGCAGCAGGGCCCTCTGGAATGCAAGAAAGTACAGCAGGTGGAGGCTGGGGCTGGCAGACTAGGTGGGCACAGGCAGGCCCCCCTCCTGTGGACCAGCCATGAGGGTCTTAGGGCCAGGGTCTCCACCTGCCAGTACTATTGGCCCTACCAGCCCCACTGGCCCTGCTGGCCCTCACCTCTCAAAGCCGCTGCAGCATGAAGCCAGCAGAGTCAAAGGACAGCCAGCTTGGCGCCCAGCAGGCTGGGCACATCCCTCAGGGCAAAGATTTCCAGCTTCCCTCGGTCAAGCATGTAGCTGACTTGGCTGAGGGTGAGGGCACAGGGAGGTGCCAGCTGTCACAGCCTCTGTCCTGTGCACCTCAAGCCAGAACACCTTCCTACCCAACCACACCTCCTTGGACTGTAGCTTTGAAGACCAACTCTACACTGTCCACAACTCTCTCCTAAACTCTAGACCTCTGGAACCGTGGACGCAGCCTGTCCACTGAGATCCTGATCAGCCCCCACACCCACCCTCCTGCCATCTTCCCATCTCTCCCAGCGGCTGCTCCATCCTTCCTGCCTGCAAATTCAGTGGAGATTCCAGCTCCTTTGCATCTGTACTCTGTCACCACCCCAGCCCAAGTCACTGCCATTGCCCAGCTGACTAGTCCAACCACCTCCCTGCTGGTCCCCTGTATCACTCCTGCCAAAGAGATCTTGTTAAAACTGTGAGTCAGACCCCTCCTTCCTGCCCCAGCCCCAACAGTGGCTTCCAAGGCCACTGACTTCACTTCCTCCCTGTATCCCTCTCACTCACTCTGGGGTCCCCACTGTTCCTCACACCCTCCATGCTTGGTCCCATCTTGGGGGCTTTGCACATGCTTTTCCATGTGCCTCAAATGCTGTTCCCAAACAGGCTCCATTTCACCATTCATGTCTTATCTGAATGTCACTTCTTAAGAAAGCCTTTCCACAACCATGCTGTTGTGAGCCACCTCCATCCCCCAGTCTGTCACCTAACCTAGTCATTTCCTTCAGGAAAGTGCTCCCTGAAACCAACTTATTCGTTTATCATTGTTCTTCCCCTACCAGACAGTGAGTGCCTGCAGATGTGCACAGCAGGTTCTTAAATACTTGAGGACTGAAGAAAGGCAGGGGGAGAGTTTGGCCCACAAGGGGACAGTGGCCCCATGACTTACCCCCTGGGGGACACAAGGCCACGTGGGTGCCATCCCAAAGCAAGACACCACTGTCCCCATCTGACAGCTGGTAGCCAAAGCTGTACTTGCTGGAATAATGCACCCATTTTGGGTCCCAGAGGATGGACTGTTGCTCCCTTGGGGGGCTCCGCATGGCTGGGCACAAAGACAAGGTGAACTGAGTGGGAGGTCCTAGTGTGCCTGGATGGAGGAATGGCAGACACACTGGAGATGTCAAGAAAAGTCCAGAAAATAAAAAAACAACTTTTGCCTTGTGGTGGGGGTAGGACTGGGATGTGGGACATCACTCACTGCCTCTGGAAATGAATAATTCTGAAATGCCTGTAATGCCCCAAATACCGTAACGCTTTGCGTTATTTGATTTAAAAAATGTATCGGCCAGCTGGTGTGGCTCAGTGGTTGAGCATCGACCCATGCACCAAGAGGTCGCTGGTTCGATTTCCAGTCAGGGCACATGCCCAGGTTGTGGGCCAAATCTCCAGTGGGGGGCATGCAGGAGGCAGCCAATCGATGTTCTCTCTAATTGATGTTCCTAACTCTCTCCTTCTCCCTTCCTCTCTTTCTAAAATCAATAAAGAAAAAATTTTTTAATGTATGTATTAAAAATAAAAATTGCTTAGTGCCATATGGGATCCTGTCTTGGATCCTGGGTGAGGAAAAACAGCATTAGTGGGAAAACAGGACATCCAGTAGCCAAGGGCAGACAAAACTCCGTGCTGTCTTGGTAGTTTCTCTGAAAAGTTATCTCAAATTTCTTTTACTGTTTATTTAAAACATTGAAATAAAAGTTGGCTACAGTTGATTTAAGACAAGCTTAAAATATGGAATTCTTCTTGTGCTACACAATCAGGGAAAGCTGAAGGAAGAAGAGAAATGGATCCCACAAAAAAGAAAAGGCTTGGGCACTCGATGTGTCCCTTCACATCGATGTTTCTCTCTCTGTCTCCCTTCCTCTCTCTCCCTCCCACTCTATCTGTACAAAAAATGGAAAAATATCCTCGGGTGAGGATAAAAAAAAAAAAGAAAGAAAGAAAAGGCTTGGGGCTCCCTCTCCAGGAGGGGCAGGGCACGTGGGTTGGTGGAGATCGAAGAAAGGGAGAGAAGGAGAGCTTGGGGATCTGGGACTCTGGGATATGAGATGGGGTTCCATCTCATGCGTAGCTGGGACACAGGTTCAGGGTTGGTGAAGGTCTAATGTCTCATTTCCTTTCTCCATTTCTCTTGGTCTCCTCTCTGGTTCTTAAGCAGGACTAGATTACAAATTATATAGATTCAGATCCTGAAAAGATGAGGATGCCCCCCAGAGCCCTCCCCAATACATCATTCAAAATAAACAGTCATCATAGAGGTCTCAGAAAGTTCTAGACTGTTCACAGAAGGATAACCTGCATCATGCTATCATGTCTCCTTACTCAGGTAAGGAAACATATACAGAGGGTTAAGTGACTTGCCTGATGTTACTGGGTCCTATAGCCTCAAAACTATCTCACTATGGAGCCCCAGAAATACCCCCAAGGGGCAGGCTACTTTTCCTTAGAGATTAAGAAACAGGGTGTCCCCTGTGGCGTAGGCCGTGCTCCTATCTGGAGGTCCAGGGTTCAGGCAGAGCTGTAGGTTTCTAATGGCCTCCTCCACCTCATGCCTTGAGCTCCCCTCAGGCCCTGGGGAGATAGATCTATGTGGGGTCAGGGAGAGAAGGAGAGAGGGGACAGGCAGGCCTGGGCCCCCACTATTAGGAGCCCCTCCAACTAGCCCAGCCCCAAACTCTCACATCTGGGAAAATCTTATTTTAAACCCAGAAGGATTCCAGACATCACTCACATTTTACAGGTAGGAAAATTGAGGCCAGGAGAGGGGAAATGACCCTGGCAAAGCACTGTCTTTGTCCCCTGCCTCTAGACCCTCACTCCCCACCCATGGCCCCCACCTAGGATAGAGAGTCTCTCACCAGCTGGGTCACTCTGGAGGATCCCTTGGGTGAGCAGGTGGACAGGGATCTCAGGTCTGGGAGCCCCTCTCTCCAACAGGGAGGCCTGGGGAGGGAGCAGCAGGGGTGAGGGGTGCCCCAGCCCCTGGGGAGAGGCCTAAAGTGAGTGAAGAGTTCCTGCCTCCCCACTCTGAAGAGCCTGTACTTCTCCCTCTGCTCAGTCTTGTTGTGAGGGTGCTCTCTTTGTGTCCCCCACTGTGAGCCCTCACCTCACTGACCCTGTCCATGGAGTCAGGGTCAGGACCATCTTCTCCAGGACATGAGTCTTCATCAGGAGTGAAGGGGCCTGAGGGAGGCACAGAATTTGGGGGGTTGCAGAGTCTGGCCCCGTGGGGGAGGCAGTCACTTGCTCTCCATATCCACCTCTGCCACAGATGTGAGTTGCAGAGCAGGTTGGAAGCATGACAGGTATGTGAGGTGCAGAATAGGTATTGGGCAGGTAGAAGCAGGTGAGGGGTGGGGCAGGGGTGGTACTCACAGGGTAGCCGGCACTGGCTTATTAGCTGCTGGCCCACCTTCCGGAAAAGCCTGCCCAGAGGCTGAGGAATGGCAAAAATGGGAGGGCTGCGGCAGGAGTGGGGTGGCAGCCGGTCCGGAGTGAAACCCTTCAGAGTGGGGTGACAGGGGTCAGCACCCCACTCAGGTTGCCTGGCTCCTGAGTACCTGGGCCACCTAGGGGTCCTGATCCTCCCTGGGCCTTGGCTGAGACTCCCCAGAGAAGGACCCAGGCATCCAGCCCCCAGGGCAGCATCACCTGCTGAACACCACACACCTGCGTGAAGAAGTTGTCCTGCAATATGTGGTCTAGGCTGGGCCGCTCAGCCGGGTTGGGTGCCAGCAGGCGGGCGATAAGGCGACAAGCATTGGGCGACAAGTGGGCAGGCTCCAGATAACGGCTTTCTCGGATATTTTGATACATCTCTGACAGGGGAGCTGCCACAAAGGGTGGGGCGCCAGTCAGCACCATATACCTGGGTGAGGGAGGGAGGCAGGAAAGTGGGTGCCTGTTTGCATCTGCCCTGGGCTGGTCCAGAGTTGGCTCATACCTACTTGTGTACACCTGGCCATACCTACCCATACTTCCCTACTCTGTACATGCTTCCCATCCATCCATATGCCTATAACTGCCCTACATCCCCTCCCACCAGGCCATTCCTGTCTGCTCAGTAGACACAAGCATCTGTAGACACCAGTTTACACCTGTACATACTTGAATGCACCTGTCCAATTTTCTTTTATGCATGCTCACACCTGCTCCACTCCTGCATGTACTTCATACTTGTATATATGCCCTAATCCGTCTATGCACTTGGCACCTGCACACACCTGTCCACATTTTTGCACACTAAAACCTGATCTCCCCTATCCCTATTCATATCTGCATGTGCAAATGATGGCTGGTGTGTACTCCTCCCACCTGCCCCATATCTGCACATATCTATTCACATCTGTCATGCATATGCTCACACCTGCCTGTCCCTGACTCAACCTCCCCTGTACTTAAACCCACCCTTACCTCCTTGTATGCTCGCACCTACCCATACCTGGCACCATCTGGGCACTCCTGCCCCACTTCCCCAAAATCTCAGGACTCTACTCACATGATGCAGCCCAGAGCCCAGATGTCTGACTGGCAGGTGTGCCCATTCCTGGAGACAACCTCTGGGGCCAGGAAATTTGGGGTCCCACAGAGCACTCTGGGAAAAAATAGTGGGGGATTCAGAAGGCTGGGCCCCATGCCAGGCCAGGTTCACCTGTGCCCACCCGAGAGATTGCTCAAAGCCTCCACACTTACCTGTGGCATCGGCCCCCTGGCCCCACCCTGGCAGCCAGCCCCAGGTCACCGATCTTCACCTCCATATTCTTGTTCAGAAAAAAGTTACCTGCCGGTGTGGGGAAGAGACATGGGCATAAGAGGGGAAGCCAGGTCCCAGCTCCCATAGCCCCCACAGTTCCCACAGATCTGCTCCCCACACTCACTGAGCTTTAGGTCTCGGTGCACAATATGCTGCTGGTGCAGGTAGTGTAGGCCGCTGACCAGGCCCCGCAGGTAGTAGCGTACCTCTGGCTCCGTCAGCGTCTGCCGCACCTCTAGCACGTGAGCCAATGACTGCAGGTGACCCCACAGGCCAGAGCACCGGCACCAAGGAGACACAGATGAACTCAGGTATACTTAAGTGGAAAAAGTGAGTGCAAGGAATCTATAAAGTTACCATTAAGTTCAACTGGGACATGGCTACGTGAAGAAGGGACACAGGTGAGTACAGGTATGCTCAAGTGGACCCAGGTTCCACAGATGAGTATGAGATGAGCCTGATAACCACAGAATAAACTGGGCACAAATGAACACAAGTGAGCCTAAGTGAGTGAAGAAAGCCTAGGATGAGCACAGTGGGGCCTGGTGTGGGCACAGGAAGAAATAGGTAAGTGCAGATGAAATACTAGGGTGGATGCAGATGAGCACAGCAGACATGGGGGTGTGAAAGCGCTCTCTCTCTGTCCCACCCCCAGGGCACCTTTCGGCTGCAGTACTCCAATACCATGTACACATGGTCATGGTCAGCAAAGTGTCCGTGGAAGGCCACGATGTTGCGGTGTCGCAGGCGGCTGTGCAGGGCGATCTCTCTCTCCACCTGCAGGCACAGCCCTATGTGTACACACCCTGCATGCAGTATTCCTGCCAACAGGCATCCACCCCGACCTCAAGGGCAGGGACCTCTCTGGGAATCCACTGTGGTTATAGAGACCTTGGGCACAGATGGGGGGCCATACCTTCCCAAAGGGGCACAGACCCCAGGCCCTGGCTCCACCACGCGGCACCACCTTGAGAGCAAACACGGTGCTGGTGGACATGTCCGTCAGCTTATAGCAACGGCTGAAGGCGCCCTTCAGAGAGGGGATTCACAAACTCAGTGGACAGGTGGTCAGGCCACTTCACACACACACACACACACACACACACACCTGAGACACACAAACACACAGCTCACACCTTCATACCTGGACATACACTGCAACACCTGGGAACAAACAAATAGGGACACATCACTTAGGCAGACACATCCATACCAGGCACATAAAGCGGAGCGATGTGTACCACATTCAGACACTCAGACACACATACACACACACACACACCTGGAAACAACATGACAGGGTTTAGAGAAAGGCACGGAAACCCATCACACACTGGGTGATAGCACACCCACACCCCTGGACACACAACTCACGGACAAGGCACAGCCCGCCAAATACCGTTTCCAGCCACACAATGCTACAGCGGGTCCTCCACAGACCCGGCGCCCAGACCAATGCCAGACCCCCAAACTCGCGCTGACACACAACACACACACACACACAGACAAAGCCCGGGCCACAGCGGGCAGACAAGCTGGACGCACACCGATTTAGCTACGCTCAAGATCGCGCGTGCAAATCCCACTCCGCCAGGATCCCCGCCAGGATCCCCGCCTGGCCCAGCCTGAACCCCTCTCCGGGAAGTCGGGGTGCCGAGGTCCCCACCTTGCCGATCAGCTTCCCGCGCTTGTACACGCGCCCTGAACCCGGGTCGCGCAGGAAAGTGGAGACCAGGTGGAGGCAACTGCGCCGCCGCCGCGGCCCGGGCTCCATCCCGCGCGGGAGCCCGCCGGGAGCAGGACGCCGGCACTGGTGCAGCTTCCCACCCCGACCACCGCGCGGTGCGGCGCCTCGCCACAGCTCTGGGGGCAGCGCCGCGGGGGTCGCGTCTTATTGGATGAAGGGGGAGGGAAGGGGGCGGAGTCCAGACGCTTCGGGGCTGGTCCGTCGCGGGAGGGGGCAGGTGAGTGGGAGGTGCGTGGGCGTGCGGGGATGCCCGGCTGGCGGGAGTTCCAGGGGCAAGAGCGGACCCCGCGTGCCGACCCAGTGGGTTCAGCCTGGTTCTTTCAATCCTTCGCCTCCCGCCAAGCTGGCAACTGTCAACAGTTTCACTGAACCAGAAAATGAGTCCCAGAGGGATTGTGTCATTCTCTAGGAGGCCTCCTAGGGAAAGGTGGATGGGGTTGGGGCTTGGTGGGCTCTCCCCAAAGTGCACTTGAGAAATGAGTCTAGTCCTGAATGCCTGTGACTAGGTCTTTTCTGCAGGTGAATCCCCACTGCTCACATGACACTGTGGGGCTTGATTACCTGGGCAGTGGGGGACATGGAGGCTGAGAAAGAAGCCCAGTATTTCTGGGGCTGAGGCTGGTGGGGAGGGGAGTGAGTCCTGGGGTAGGGAACCAGAAGGGGGAACAGCTCTGGGTTGGGAGGTTGACGGTGAGAAGGGACAGGATTTAGGAACCAGTGGGTAGATGTACACTGGGGATTATGATTCCCCGAAGGGGCTGCCACGGAGAGTCAGTCAGATGGGAGGACAAGTGGACAAGTTTGGGCCCCTCTGGTCACTATGGGGGCATCTCTGAACTGTGGCCCAACTTCAGTTCTAGGCACTTTCCTTGCCTTTTCCCATTTTACTGTTACATCAATCCTGGGACATGGGAACTGGCCTATCCCCATTTTCCAGGTAAGTACACCGAGGCCCAGGGAGGTTTGGTTGCTTACTCAGCCAGGAAGGGACAGTGTGCTGGGTTTGAATTTGGGCTTCTGCCTCTGGCTGCCTCAGTATTAATCCCAAATGTTACATAACACAATGAATGGGGAGGGGTTAGCAGGGCTCCATGTGGCTGGAATCAGATCTAGGAATTTTCCAGAGACCAGATTTTGAAATCTGTCCCAGCCATGCCACCAGGGACAGGAAACATCTTCTGAGTTGTCACATGGTCTCATGGCACTTCAAATGGGGGCCCCAGTACATTTGAGGGAGCAAAACTCAGCGACCTTTGTGGGGGTGGCTTCAGTGCCAGGGCCAAATGGGTTTCAGGACAGTGAAGGGGGTCAGCTGGCTGTGACCTGGGAGCAGAGTCCCCTGCTAATGAGAATCAGGTGCAGTGCGACAGAAGAAGGGCAGCTGGGGGAGCCCGTGGGTCTGAGCAGTCATGTCACTGTCACCCTGGAATCCATGAGGGCAGACAGCTGCTTCCTTTTCAATAGCACGCCTCCATCCACGTGCTAATTCAGATATGTGTTGAACACTTAGTGAGGAGAACCTGTGCTCAAGACAGACCCACCGGGGCCTCCTGAAAAAATTGCCAGGAGATCATCCAGACTTAATCTAGGGGAGAGTTTTAGAGGTGAATGTGAGTAAGCCAGGACCCCTTCTGTGCAGTGGCTTGTCCTGGAGGTAGGTTCTGTCCTTAGCCTCATGTTACAAAGGAGGAAATTGAGGCTCAGGAAGGCACCTGAAGCCATGTGGTTCTGGGCTGTGGCCAAGCCCTGCCAGAAGTGTAGGTCAGTGGGTCTAGAGCCCCTGACCCCATAAACCATCACCCCAGGGCTCTTGGGAGGGAAGGCAGAGCCCACATGCTGAAGCGGGTGACTAAGACCACTGAACTCCCAGAAGCTCCCTTGTGGGGAAAAGAATCTGAATTTCCTGGCTGGGTGCCACACAGCCTACCTGTCAGCTGGCCCCTTTGCACAGACACCAGTCTTCCCCACCTCTTGGCTGCCTGCTATGTTTTCCTGGTTGAGCCTCCACCACAGGGCTGGCGAAATCTCCCCTTCCCAGCCTGCACCTCCCTGAGCAGGTAACTGCCTCCCCTAGAACTCTAGAATGAAAAAACCTAAAATAAAACAAACAACAACAATAATAACAACATAAACAGCTGTTCACAGCGGCATGCTTCACAATAGTCAAAAGGAGGAAACAACTCGAATATCCAGTGATGGATAAATGAATAAATTATAGTTCATCCACACACTGAAATATTCAGCCTTAAAAAGGCAGGGAACTCTGACATCTGCTACAAAGTATATGAACCTTGAGGACATTATGCTCAGTGAAATAAGCCAGACACAGAGGATAAATACTATATGATTCTACTCACAGGAGGTCCCTGAAAAGTCAAATTCACAGAGACAGAAGGTAGAGGGGCAGTAACAGGCTAGGGGTGGAGAGATGAGGAAGTTAGTGTTTAATGGGGACAGAATGTCAGTTTAGGAAGATAGCAAAGTTCTGGAGGTGGATGGTGGTCATGGTTGTACAACAATGTGAATGTACTTAATGCCCCTGGGCTGTGCACTTAAAAATAGTTAAGGTGGCCGTTGGCCGGTTTGGCTTAGCGGTTAAAGCGTTGGCCTGCGGTCTGGAGAGACCCTGGTTCGGTTCCCGCTAAGGGCACGTACCTCGGTTGCAGTTTGTCCCCGGCCCTGATTGGGTCGTGTGAGTGGCAACCACTCTATGTATCCTTTCACATCGATGTTTCTCTCTCTCTCTCCCTCCCACTGTATCTGAACAAAATATCGGGGGAAAAAATGGCTAAGGTGGTAAAGTTTATGTTATGTATATTTTGCCACAGTAAAAAGAGTAAAAACATATTAGATTCCCCACCCTACCCTCAAAAAACATAACCTTAGGGGACTTACTAAAATTCCCATTTTAAAGATGAGCAAACTGAGGCACAGTTTGGGTACTGATCACAGGATCACAGTTTTGCAAAGGGGGGCTGCTTGGCCTCCCATGCTGACCCCTGCCCAAGGTTCCCAAAGCTGGGTGGTCACAAGCTGGAGCCCTGGCCTGGCCATCCACCCCCTGAATCTCTGCACTCCAGGTCACAGCTTCATGTCCCCTTCATTCTGTTTTCTCGCTAACCTGAGATAACTCCCAGACTCAGCAGATTTCCTTGAAGAAGTGCAGGAAGCTTTGCTCAAAATACCTGCTGCAGGTGAGGGGGCAGCTGCTGAGACAGCGTTGGGCAGCCAGACACCCAGCGGTCTCCCTTGGGAGGCTCAAGGGGCTGGGCATGGGGTCAGCCTAGGCACACTTCTCTTCTTCCAGAAGGTGCCAGGGTGGGCATACTCCAGCAGACATGACTCACCCTGGCTCCAAGTACGTCTCTAGTCTCGTGGACTTTGAATTGCAGTGAACTCCCTCGTGTCTGTACTCCTCAGCTTGGCCTCTGGGGACAGGGCCTTGTAGGCAGAGCCAGCAGGAAGGAACCCTGCCTCTGTGCTTCAGAAACCCCATGACTGCGGCAGGGCACTACCTTAAGACTGGCCCAGCATTGTGGGTGGAGGAACTTGGCTTCCATTTGTCCAGGATTAGACCTTTTCCTTGCCTCTCTTGGCCTCCAAGCATCCATTGTTGTCAGCTCCTCCTAGAAGCACCATCTTGTCTGGTCCTCCAGGGTCATCCCCATCTCAAGGTACTTAACTTAACCCATGTGCAAAGTCCCCTCTGCCACATTGGCAGTTCTGGGAGAAGAGGACTGTGCCTAGGCTGATCCCATGCCCAGTGCCTTGAGCCTCCCAAGGGAGACCTCTGGGAGCTGTCTCAGCAGCTGCCCCCTCACCAGCAGCAGGTATTTTGAGCAAAGCTTCCTGCACTTCTCTAAGGAAATCTGCTGAGTCTGGGGAGTTATCTCAGGTCAGAGAGAAAACAGAATGAAGGGGAAGTGAAGCTGTGGCCTGGGGTGTAGAGATTCAGGGGGTGGATGGCCAGGCTAGAGCTCCAGCCTGTGATCACCTGACTTTGGGAACCCTGGGCAGGGGTCAGCATGGGAGGCCAGGCAGCCCCCTTTGCAAATATGTGATCCTATGATCAGCACCCTTTGGGGAAGGAACATTATACTATCGATGACAAAGGGTAGACAGAAACCTTGTGGTGTCTTTGCAATTTTCTGTAAATCTAAAATGATTCCAAAGTAAAATTTTATTTAAGAAAAAACAAGAATTAGATCATAATAAGAAATTCAAGCAAAATCTATTAGGCAGTACCTCAAAGACAACCATAACCCCCCCGCAAGTTTATCATGGCCAATGCTAGGGGTTTAAAAATGTTTTTATGTTTTTTAAAACATAAAATGTTTTTCTTTAATGTTTTTATGTTTTTAAAATATGTTTTTATTTCCTGGCTGGTGTGGCTCAGTGGTTGAGCGCCGACCAATGCACCAAGAGGTCACCAGTTCGATTCCCAGTCAGAGCACATACCCAGGTTATGGGCTCAATCCCCAATGAGGGGTATGCAGGAGGTGGCCAATCGATGTATCTCTCTCTCTATCCCTCTCCTTTCCTCTCTCTCTAAGATCAATAAGGAAAAAAATAATAACAAAATAAAATATATTTTTATTGATTTTTTTAGAGAGAAAGTAAGGGAGAGAGAGATAGAAACATCAATGTGAAAAGGACACATCGAGTGGTTGCCACCCACACAACCCAACCAGGGCCGGAAACAAACTGCAACCAAGGTATGTGCCCTTAGCGGGAACCGAACCCGGGTCTCTCTGGACTGCAGGTCAATGCTCTAACCATTGAGCACCCGGCCAGGGCTTGTCATTTCTTTTTAAAAAATTTTTTGTTATTTATTTTTAGAGAGAGAGGAAGAGATAGAAACATCGATCAGAGAGAACAGTGATTGGCTGCCTCCTGCATGTCCCCCACTGGAGGTTTGGCCCACAACCTGGGCATGTGCCCTGACCAGGAATCAAACTGGCAACCTCTTGGTGCATGGGTTGATGCTCAACCACTGAGCCACACCAGCTGGGCCGACTTGTCATTTC